CCACAACCAGGAGTCACTATCCCTCTTAGTAACCTCCAGAAAAGTTTTCCCATAGAGATACTTACCTCTCATGACTTGACTCATAAGATTATGAGGCTCAGTAAGCATTCTCCAGATTTGTTTAATGATAAGAGCCTCATTAAGATCCCTGAAGTTTCTAAAACCCAGCCCCCCCTCACTCTTAGACTTAGCCAACCTCTCCCATTGCATGTGGATTTTATTCCCCCCTTCCCCATTACTACCCCACCAGAAGTTGGCAATGATCTTACACAACTCATCACAGATACCAACAGGATTTTTAAAAACAGACATAACATAAATGGGGAGGGCAGCCAAAATGGTTTTAATCAGAACTTCTCTCCCGGCTTCACTCAAAAACTTGTTTTTCCAATTTGTGACCCTTGCCACAACGCACTCTTTAACAAAAAAAAAGTATCTTTTTTGGATCTCCCTATACCCAGAGGAAGCCCCAAGTATTTAGAATATTTGGCCACAGCCACCCCTTGGAAGATTTGGCAAATTTCAGATTTCAAAAAGTCAGGGGTATTACTGGAGAAAAAAATATTAGACTTGTGCATATTGACTGCTTGACCAGACATAGCACAATAAGAATTCAAAATATCTTAAAGCAAAAGAGCATGAGCAGAATCAGCCTGGCAAAAAATAAGTGCATCATCTGCAAAAAATAGATGAGATATACTAGGGGCATGTTTACTAATTTGCAGACCCCTAAATTTTTGGGAAGAACAAGCAATATTAATCAGATTAGAAAGGGCTTCTGAAGCAATAATAAATAAATAAGGAGACAAAGGACATCCCTGCCTTAGGCCTCTAGAAGGGAAAATTTGACCTAAGGCTTGCCCAGAAAAATTAAAAGAGAAGGATGAAGTACTAATACAGGCCCAAATCCACTTCAAAAATTTATCACAAAAACCCATCCTCCTGCAGAAATGCCACTCAATTCTATCATAGGCTTTTTCCATATCAAGCTTGAGGGCCAAAAAACATCTTTTGCCTTTTTCCTACTATTTATAAAGTGGAGACATTCATTAGCTACTATAATATTGTCAAGGATCTGCTTACCAGGCACAAAAGCGGACTGGGAATTGGAAATGCAACAATGAAGGACATTTTTCAACCTGTTTGCCAAAATTTTTGCAATTAATCTGTAAGTAATAGTGCAAAGACTGATAGGTCTATAATTAATAATGGTTTTGGGATTTTTTGTTTTAGGGATTAGGGTAATAATGGTATGATTAGTAGCTTTTGGAATACAACAAGAGTTCAAAAAATTTGACACAGCCAAAAAGAGATCATGTTTGATAATATCCCAAGCAGATTGGAAAAAAAGGGGGAATAGCCATCAATACCTGGGGCTTTATTTGGATCCATTGCCCACAAAGCAGACTTGATCTCCTCTTCAGTCACTGACTTGGTTAGATTCTCATTCATCTCAGTAGTTATGGACCTTTGAATCCCCTTCAACCCCTCATTTCCATCTCTAACTCTCCCAGATGTGAATAGCTTCTCAAAATAACCAGTAACTTCCTCCACCACTTCTTCTCTATTCTGACAGCTCTCTCCATTGAGTCTTACCAAATGATCCAAACTATTTCTTTGTCTTCTTTGCCTCACACAGGCTTGGAAAAACCTGGTGTTTTTGTCACCTTAGTTAACCCTAGACTTCTGCTTCCAAAAAGCCTCCTCCTCCAAATATGCCTTATGAATTTTATCTCTGCAGTTCTGCCACTGTTCCCAGTCTCTCAACTCACCTTGGCACCCAAGCTTCTCTAATTTGGCATTACACTCCTTGATTGTGATTTCTGAATTCAGTTTCTGACTAGATGCCCAACCCATCAAACAGAACTTGACCTGTCTTAATTTCTTCTGGAATTTGTAAAGGTCAGGCCCTTTGGTATCTTCCTCCCAAGCCTTTTTGATACATTCCTGAAACCCTTCCTTGCTTGCCCATCTATTGTCAAACATAAACCTTCTTTTTCCTTCTGCCCTTTCCTTATCACAACTCATCAGCAACATACAGTGATCCGAAGACACCAGAGAAATGTGTTTAACATAGGTTTCAGGATATTTGAGCATCCATTCAGGTGACAAGCAAATCCTATCTAACCTCTCCTCAACAAACTCCTTCCCAGCCCTGAGGTTTGACCAAGTGAAAGGATAACCCCTCAAAGAACACTCCACCACCCCCAGCCCCTGCAGAAAACCCCTAAACACATCAAAACTGGCCATGCTTCTAATCAAGCCCCCTCTCTTCTCTTCCCCTGAGACGATATCATTGAAATCCCCCCTATGAACCAAACCTCCCCCCACCTGAGATGATGTCTATGAAGGATTTCCTTCTGACCTTGCCTCTCTAAGGGGTCTACACTGGCATAAACAAAAACTGCCCACTTAGATTCAAAGGACCCAGAGAAAGAAAACTTGACTTCAAGACTATAATTTCCAAAACAGACACTTTCTCAGACCAACACAACAAAAGCCCACCTTTTTTACCAGAGGGATCAACACAAAACCACCTAGAATCTACATGCAAATTTTTACAAAC